TTACTTTGCAAGGAACAGATGCAAATTTTTGATGCAAATTTTCAAAAAGTTTATTTATTATTTATTTATTTTATTTCGGTTACTTCTACCCCGCCCTTCTCAACCCCCGGAGGGGGACTCGGGGCGGCTTACAAAAAGGCGCAATTCGATGCCTACACAATATATACATACATACAAAACAGCAATTAAAACAATTATCAAGTTAAAAATAATCAGTACATAACACAATCAGTAAAACTAATCTCATGCTCAGCGTTCAGAGTTCCATAATTCCATTCCGCTTAGTCAATTCCTGTCCATCATCAAAGTCCTTTCTTTAGCTGCCAGAATGCCTGGTCCCAAATCCAAGTTTTCAATTTTTTCCTAAAGGAAAGGAGGGATGTCGCCGATCTAATTTCCCCGGGGAGTGAATTCCACAGGTGAGGGGCCACCACCGAGAAGGCCCTGCTCCTTGTCCCCGCCAATCTCACTTGTGATAGAGGCGGGGTTGAGAGCAGGGCCTCCCCAGAACATAAGATTAACAAAACAATATAAGTTGAGACCATTTTCACTTATAGTTTGACAAAGTATATAATTTAAATCAGGCATCCTCAAACTCTGGCCCTCCAGCTGATTGGGCTTCCAACTCAGAATTCCTGATCATTGAACAAGCTGGTTAGGGCTTCTGTGAATTAGAGGCCAAAAGAGCTGGAGGCCAGAGTTTGAGGAGGTCTGATTTAGTCAATATAGCCCTCCAGATGTTATTAGCCAATCACCACCCCTGGTGGCACAGTGGGTTAAACCCCTGTGCCGGCAGGACTGACGGTCACAGGTTCAAATCCAGGGAGAGCATGGATGAGCTCCCTCGGTTAGCTCCAGCTCCTCATGCGGGGGACATGAGAGAAGCCTCCCACAAGAATGGTAAAACATCAAAACATCCAGGTGTCCCCTGGGCAATGTCCTTGCAGACGGCCAATTCTCTCACACCAGAAGCGACTTGTAGTTTCTCAAGTCACTCCTGACATGACAAAAAAACCCACCTTCCTCACTTATCGTTGGCTATACCATTTGCTTTTCAGTTCTTATCAGACTTTGTGCCTTCACACTTGTCAGAAAATGTTAGATGGTAATGTAAGTCTTCAGTTTTTTTCCTTCATGAAACTGAGAACAAATCATTTCAAAAAATGTTTCTTCTTTGAGGAAGAATGCAAGGCAGTTGACACATTTTTCAATCGCTTTTTGAATTTCAGGACTATTTTGTGAAAATTCATTTTGTGAAAAAAAAATTAAAAAGAAAATTGCAATAATAATAATAATAATAATAACTTTATTTATTTATTTATTTATTTATATATCTCCCCAAGGGGACTTAGAGCAGTTTCCAAATAACATCATCAATGCATACCGAGTAAACAAAACAATATAAGCATAAAAATTGTCGCCATAACACATATATATTAAAAGTAATCCTGCCTATTCAAGGCAATTTAAAAGGCTGGGCCGAGATTAGTGCAAGCTCAAAAATTCTAGAGGCCCCAGGAATTAAGTGCTGTGCTATAGCAGGCAACAACAATAATAGGTACAGGTCTATGGTTGTTCATTTCCGGGGCCTATTAGAGGAAGTGACCTTGGTTGGTAGGAAAAATAAGGCTATATTCAATAATGTCTAGGGCTGAGCTAGAACTAGTTGTTCTCAAAGGCTTGTTGAAACCACCAGGTCTTCAAGCTCTTACGAAAGGAGGGAAGGATGGGGCCTGTTTAATTTCCCTGGGGAGGGTGTTCCAGAGGTGGGGGGCCACCACTGAGAAGGCCCTCTCCCTCTCATCCCCACCAACCGTACTTGTGATGGTGGTAGGAGCGAAAGGAGGGCCTTTCTGGAAGATCTTAGAGTTCGCACTGGTTCATAGATCGCAGAGATAGGCGGGGCCCAACCTTTTAGGGCTTTATAGGTCATGACCTGCACCTTGAATCTGGCTCAGCAACTTGTTGGCAGGGTTTTGTCAAAAAGAAAACCCCTCCAATATACAATACTTTCTATGAATATTTTTTCCCAAAATGTAAAATAAAGATATACAAAACCTCTTGTAAAATGTGAAAATACCATTTCACATCAAGGATGAGAAAAATGTGAATATCCTTTACATTCTTGATTTTAGGAGAAAACTGAAAGAGGAGATGCAGACAGGCTGACGATTTCAGTTTCTTTTGTTCAAAGAGTCTATGTGAGTTGCAGTTACTAAACAGTACTAGACAGAAAGATCATCCTCTTCCAGAGAGCATAGCAGACAAAGTAGTAGAAAAAGCTATAGGCAGCCCTCTCCTAACCCTGTGCATTTACCAGTGTGTCAATCATAGCTTTGTACGTTAATCATGAGATCCTATGTGTATTTACTCTGAAGCATGTCATGCTGAATTGAGTGCATTTTATTCTAAATCAAGGTAGAGCTTGTGTGACTTTAAAAGGGTGATAATTCTCTGGGGAAAACTAAGAATTTGACAATTGTTTGAAGATCGCTCACTTTTATCAGGATACGGCTCTTGCCCTTCTGTTTACTCTTATCCCCATTTCTACTGACCAGTGAAATCCAACTGTGAGGTGTCTCATTCTCTTATCAGCTGCAAAACCCACATGTTCCAGCTTTTTGAACTGCCTTTGGAAGCCACATCCCTCTGTTCAAAGTTAAGCTATTTTATCTGTAGACCATCTAACCATTGTAGGATTTAGTCTCCTTACAGCACTGATTGTACTTGCCCTTTTCTGGGAGATGAAACCTTATCTAGTGATGGTCAGATGTAGGCTCCCTTTTCACTGAGATCCCAACAATTCATTTGAAAAAAAAAGTCAAATACTGTGCACGGACATAACTAGACAAAATAGAAAGATGTAACTTTTTGTCTAATAATGAGGCAGCCACCTCCATTGAGTTCTGCATGCTTCAGACTTATACAGAGCTGTTTTGTAGTAAACATTAAACCAACTTTAAAATAACTCTTTGGGGAAAACCTAGATTCACATGAGGCAAAATTAATTTCCTTCAATTGACTTCAAAGTGACCGGGTTTGTAGTTTAAAATTCAAGTGCTGCTGAGCATTGAGTCCTCAAGCTATGAACTCGAGAAGAATCCCACCGAGTTCAGGTGTCATATTTCAGCAGTTTGATGATGCTAGACTTACTAATTTCAAATATATGATGAATATTCATATCTGTAATTTAAACATTGTGTAATTTTTAAAACATTAGTTACTTCTCCCAAACAAACATGCCTGTGCATTTTGTATCTGTCTGTGTAAAGTTGTTGTCTATCAAGATGAATGCATAAACACCAGCTGTTATACTTGGAATTGTCTGCTTAATTTCATCAAGTTTTAGAGAAAACTCCATCTTGCATTTCTTTTCTTTTAAAAACTATTAAACGTATTGGCAGTTGTACAAAAGTAGGTATCCACAGAAGTCCTTGGAATACCTTACTTTAAATGTTCCTCTCAGGGAAGAATGATTTGCAACAAGCCTGTCTGGTTCATTTGCTGACCTTTAGAAGAAGGAAGGCAAAATGCTTCAAAACATTTCAAATCTCACCATGTTATCTTTCCATAATCCTAGTGATATTTGTTAAAGAATAGATGAGTCAAAGAATGACATTTTGCATTATGGAGGCATAGCATAGGTTTACACCCACTGAGATGCCTTAGATACATCATGCTTCTTTATTGGAGAACTAACACAACTAATAGCATCATGTTGGATAATTCACATCAATAACAAAAAATGCACCATTGTCTATTGTGCAACCAGAAGAACTGCATGTGTAACCTACATGTTTGCAACCTTGAATAAAATGCAGCCATTGTGCAAAAGTGTGGCCTGCAGAGATAACAAGACTTATGCCTGAGTAATTTACTCATGGAATGTTAGCCATAATTTTGATATAACAACAACAACAAAAACTTTATTTATATACCTCTTTATCTCCCCAAGGGTACTCAGAGTGGTTTCCAAGTAACATCATCAATACATACAAAGTAAACAATATAAACATAAATTAATAAAACAATATAGGCATAAAAAGTCATAGTAGCACATATATATTTAAAAAATAACCCAGCCTGTTCAAGGCAATTTAAAAGGCCAGGCCAAGGCTAGTGCAAGCACAAATTTCTAGAGGGACCGGGGCATTAGGTGCGGTGCTATAGCAGGCCACAACAATAACACATATTGTCTATGGCTGTTCATTTCCAAGGGCTATTATGAGAAAGTGACCTAGGTAATTGGTAGAAAAATATCTGGCCATATTCAACAATGCCTAGGGCTGAGCTAGAACTAGTCATTTTCAAAGGCTTGTTGGAACCACCAGGTCTTCAAGCTCTTACAAAAGGAGGGGAGGGATGGGGCCTGTCTTATTTCTCTGGGAAGGGTGTTCCGGAGGTGGGGGGCCACCACCGAGAAGGCCTCTCTCTCTTCCCCACCATGGTTGTGACGATGGTGGGAGTGAAAGGAGGCCCTCCTGGAAGATCTTAAAGTTCGTGCCGGTTCATAGAGGGAGATGTGATCGCAAAGATAGGCAGCGCGCGAACCATTTACAGTGATCATGCTGGGAAAGGGCCACTGTCTTTGCATATGCAATGTTACTGAAAGTCACTTAAAAAACAAGAACCCTGAATTTGTGATCCCAACCAGCTAAATTATTCTTTGAATCAAGAGGGGCATTATAATTAAGGGGAACCTACTTTGACTGCCTCTTCACATGAAAAATGGAGGGGGAAAAAAGCAAGAGGCCGGTATGTGGATACTCTAGAAGTCTCACTTGAGGTCTCTTTCTCTTAATGAGGGATTATCTTCCCAGATAGCTGTAAACTTAGACTTCCAAAAAAAAAAGATTATATCTGATCCAGGGACCACTACTTCCAAGTAGTGTTGTATTAGATGACTGAGTCACACAATGCTGGATGTTCTTATGTATTGTATATCTATACTTGTTTTCACCATTGTTCTTTTTTCATTATTGTACCCTGTCCCCATGCAGGATGGATGGTCACAGTATCACTTCGTAGCCTCATCTTCAACAATAGAGAGGGATCGGCAAAGACCGTACTCTTCATCACGCACCCCTTCCATCTCTCCAGTGCGCATGTCTCCCAACAATCGTTCAGGTAAGACCCAGACTAAAAGAGCAGAATAGGTAGATAAGGAATCTGTCAGTGCCATATAAAAAAGGACAGTGCCACCAGAAGTATCATTAACCACAGTAAGGCATTTGGGGGGGGGGGAATCATTATTTATCTCTCTACTGTTTTGCGGATGTTCTAGACCAGTGGTTCTCAACCTGGGGTCCCCAGATGTTTTTGGCCTTCAACTCCCAGAAATCCTAACAGCTGCTAAACTGGCAGGGATTTCTGGGAGTTGTAGACCAAAAACATCTGGGGACCCCAGATGAGAACCACTGTTCTAGACTGAGAGAAAAACATTCGGAATAAACTACAAAACAGTCAATTGTTACATGTAGATTTGGTTTGAAAATATCCAACAAAGAGATTATTAAAACCTGTCCTTAGCTATGTATTTGTTTCTGTATTTGTCAAATGTTGATATTCATGACCTTCCTTGCTTCGAAGATATTTGAGGAAATTTGCATGTTTGTAAATTACCAAAATAATATCAGTGTTTAAGATTTGTGAATTGGTGAGGAGACATGGCAACTTCTCTTTTACCCTGCCTATCCTGAGCAGATTTGCAGGAAGAATTGAACATATGCTTTACAAAAGTTTGACATTATTGTCATGACCCGGAACAAAGTCTTGTAATGAGGGGTTATCTAATTTAAAATAAAGCAAGGAAGACTGGTATTAGGTGTGACTGGAAAGTGCCATATTAAAGTGAGAAAGAAGGTGGAGGACGTAGAAAGTAAAAACAAGGGAGCAGAGACCAGCCAGTCCCACTACTCCTCAGCTGCTCTGAAAAGATAGTCTGCAGTGGACTATATTGTTATAGTTCTGCTTGGAACACACAAAGAATCCCGAACCAGTCAGGTTCCAATTGTAAATGCTTAGTAACCAGTTACTCCTCTGATGTGTCACTTCCTTTGGAGGTCAACAGAAATGGATACTGGTCCATACACACCCATAATGTTCATCTTTCTTAGGTAATTTACAATATACTCTATGAAAGGTTTCTCCACAATAAATCCTATTGGCACAGTAGTGCTTACTACCAGGTAGGTGAGCAAAGAATACCCACCTTAGTATTGTTTCCTTTGTACAATCATAAATTCCAGCACATTCTTTTTTTTTAAATTGACTTCTACTTTGCAATAGAAGTCAATTAAAGTTGATGAAATGGAAGAAGAACCATGGTAGCAAGGAAGACCATGCATCTTATATTTTGAGTATTAAATAGGACTCTTTGCTGCTTGCAATAGGAAGAACAATGAGCTGGAGCGGGGTGGGGTAAATTACAATATATACATTTATCTGTGTTAAGCATTGGCATTAATAAACATTCCCAAGGGCCTAGTTCAAGTGGCCCCATCTACTCAATTTTCTCCATCCTCCAGTTTTTCTCTTTTAGATCATGGAATGATATTTTTCTGGTATTGCGATTCTAGCATTTGTTGACATTGCCTTGGCCGTATTGCAAGGTCTCAGCAACCTTGTCCATTCCACTGTATTGTGTTGGTATTCACTGTTTCGGGATCAATCAGAAGCACTAAACTGATGATTTGCTTCAGCTGGACCAGAGATAAGCAACCTGTGGCTCTCCAGATAGTGTTAGACTGCTGTTCCTGATGAATCTAGACTGTATAGTCATTGATAGGCACAAATCATCTGAAAAACCATTGGTAGTTCTGAATCTATTCCATTCACACTGTTATATAACAGTGATGATAATCAGTCCATTTTTATTATATTTGGCATATCAAAATTTGTGAATGTCATTCAAATCAAGCACTCAATATATAGCAAATGTTACCCTTTTTTCAATTTATGACTCAGTCAGAAGAATAGTGACTGGAAACTCCTTATTTATTTATTTATTTATTTAGTATCAAAAGCATTGCATAAATTAGTATAAAACTGATAAAAATAGAAGGAGCACAGGCAGCTAAATATTTTTTGACCAAAAACGGGCAACAGCAATGGCATTTTCTGTAGCTTCCAACAATTCTTCCTCTGTACATGAGGCAGGGCATAGTGGACAAGCATATAGATACGGAGTTGTCTGTTCTGCTCCACAGTCACACAGTGTGTGGGATTCTTTTAAGTAGTGCCATTTTGCCAGGTTGTCTTTTGGAAACTCCTAACTCACAAGGAAATATATGTGACTATAGTGTCATTGAAATACCAGCACATTAAACCATATTTGAGGGGGCCTTGACAGCATACATATGATAAAAATACAGTGCAGCACTAATTAAAAAAACAATAAAAGATTTAGAAATGACTGGTGCTGTTACTGAGCATTACTTCAGTGCAGTTTGAACATACATATTCATTTTCATTGTTGTAGCAGAAAGTGTTTTGCTCAATAATAATTTATTTCCAGCTACAAGCATATTATAGACTGCCATGCTGTCAACTCTGTCATGAATTCATTCACAGTTACAAAGGATTTTATCACTAGAGACATCGCCAAGGCCACAAAACTAATACAACAGCTCTTCCGTATTAGTAGATGCAGCAGAGGAAAGAAAAGTAATTCTGTCCTCCTTTAATAGAGACCTAACCTTGAAAGTCCTTTTCATTCTGGCAGATTATCAACCATATTCTGCTCCGTTTTGATACTATTTCAAAATCTTTCTCATTGGGAAGAAGCACACTTGGGATAGCAGCTCAAGGATTCTTTAGCTGTTCTTTACTTAGGACAGAGAAAGAGGGAGAAAAAAGTTTTGATCATTTTTCGAAGAAACTTATTACACTTGCCTGTAGCTGTGGTTCCCAATTTTGGGCTTTTAGGTGTTTTGGACTTCAGCTCCCATAGTTCCCAACAGCTGGTAAACTGACTGGGATTTCTGGGAGGTGAAGTCCAAAACACCTAAAAGCCCAAAGGTTGAGAGCCATTGCTGTAGAGGGACAATTTTATTGGATACAGACTAAGATCTCAATATCCATAGAATCTGCATCCATGAATTCAACCAGTGATATTGAAAATATCAACCTCCACCAAAATAAATTCTAAAAGCAAAGCTTGATTTTGCCATTTTATATATTAGGAACACCATTTTACTCTGCTGTTGTGTATAATGGTATTTTATTTTGGTATTCATGGGTAGTCCTGGAACCATATCAAAATGGATACGAAAAGCACACTGTATTTATTTATTTATTTATTTATTTATTTATTTTGAACATTTTTACCCTGCCCTTCTCAACCCCTGGGGGGGACTCAGGGCGGCTTACAATTGGCAATAATTTATTCTGCATCATAAAATACAGAATATCAAATATAACAATTATAYATTAACATTAATAAATAAAGATTAAAACAATATACTTACACTCTGATTAGCTATTGCCCGTCTGGTGGCTRTTTAGCTAGCCATCTACTAATGATTACTCCGCTTAACTTATCCAAATCCTCTTCCATGCCATAGTCAACATTATCAATAGTCCTTTAACCTGATTGCCCGAAGGCCTGGTCCCACAGCCACATTTTAACCTTTTTTCTAAAGGTGAGGAGGGATGACGATGACCTAATTTCCCCGGGGAGCAAATTCCACAGGCGGGGGGCCACCACCAAGAAGGCCCTGTCCCTCGTCCCCGCCAAGCGTGTTTGAGATAAAGGCAGGGCCGAGAGCAGGGCCTCCCCAGAYGATCTTAAGCTCCGAGGTGGGACATAGAAGGAGATACGTTCGAATAGGTACGCTGGACTGGAGCCGTATAGGGTTTTATAGGTCAAGACCAGCACTTTGAATTTATTTATTTGATGCACTTATTGACCGCCATTCTCAGCCCTTACGGGCGACTCATGGCGGAATTGTGCTCGGAATTGGATCGGCAGCCAGTGGAGCTGGCACAACAGGGGGGGTGGTATGCTCCCTATATGATGCACCAGTGAGTAATCTAGCTGCCGCCTGTTGGACTAATTGCAATTTCTGAACTGTAATTTATGCCAAACATTTAAAATACACTCACTTGCTTTTTATTGAGAATTTAAAAGCAGTTTATATTTTTTTAATAAAAGCAAACTATTGATAATAACTGAAATATTGAAATTGTGCAGCCCTTTCCGTAACCCAAAATGATGTAAAAGTGAGTATTCAAGGCATGACTGGAGTCGATAGAGAATTATCGGAAGCCCACAGAATTGGATTTCTACAATTAATCCAGAGTGCATGACTAGACATCCTTGCCCCAAATGCTCCCAAAACCTTGAGAAAGAAGTCTCAGCAAAGTACCATGTCTAGTTGGAGATTTTATCAGAAACACTAATAAATAAAGGAACTATTTTTTGACACCACACTAATGAATCTCTGGATTGTAAACTAGTACAGGCACCCGAGTTTATCTAGCTATTTAGGATCTGCAGTTCCCAAAACCCTTCACCTTTAAAAATCGTGCTAAAATTAGAATTAGATGTTGCATCTGATTAGTGCACTTCAGGCTGTATCACTCTTCTCAAGGCATCCTTTAGTACAGTATAAATTAATGTATAGTTGGTGATATTTTAGTATCTTGTTTATCATCTAAAACCATGAAATGATTTAGGGCCAAGGGACTTGCTTTCTGAGTTCAATTAGTATGATATTCTATGCATTTCTTCATATTCCAAGTTTCATTTATGGAAAAGGATTGCAGGAGAGGACATTTCTCAAAAGCTTACAGAATGTGAATTTCTCGGTAAATTGAGCTATTTCCATACACATTTGTATTTTACCAAATGAAGCTGAAAATCCTTTTTATCAGCAAAGTTTTAATTTGTCTGATGCATGGAAATTTCCACTTTTTTACCATTCATTTTTTAAATGCTGTGTTTAATTTTTAACTATTTTTTACTTTTTTTAAGTCTTACAGTGGGAATATTTTAATGTGACTTATTATTGTACATTACTTTGGGTCCTTCTACATGTGAAGTAGAAATATTAGAGTGAAATGCTCTACATACTATACAAAACACTTGAAATGTACATAATAATACTACTGGCAGATATCTTCTG